TGCAATGTCGCCCAAACGTTGTGCGCCTTCTAAGTCATTGGGCATCAAATCCAAGCCAAAGAGTGGGGGGGGAGGGTTCATAAAGCCTTAAAATATAAATAAATAATAAATTAAATCTAATGTTGCTACCTCAGGGATTTGGGCCTATCACGGGGGCTTCTGGACCCTAACCCCCGCAACAGACGAGGGACAACTCTTTACATTTTTTAAAATGTAGGATTTTTCCAGCACAAGTCCTGTCTCTAAATTTTAACCTTCATTTTTGGGCTTCCAAGAACAACATATTGCTAGCACTGATTTGATTCCTTGTAAGAATTTTATTTAATGGATTTTATCATTATTCCATACCTTTTCATACCACGCCCCTGGCTTATTGTCATTACATTAATTACACAGAAGCCACTCTTGAACCAATTGTAAACCTACTTGTAAACCTGATTGTAAACATAATTCTAAACCTAATTGTAAACCTACTTGTAAGCCTTTTTGTTCAATCCAAAATAATGTTGTTTTTTTCAGCTTTAACCAACTGTGCTTGCCCGACTATGACACAATGGAGACCTTCCATCGCATGCTGCTTATTGCCATTAATGAGGGCAACCAAGGGTTTGGATTAGTTTAAACAGCCTCAATCACTGCGATCACAAATATCTGGGCGGATTTAGAACCACTGATAGTACCAGCTATTTATAGCCCTCAAGTATCTACCACACCACCAAACTGACTGCCTCTAACGAATCTTTTCTGCTTATTGCCATATCTAATGGCAAGGACAGGTTTTGACTGGTCCCAACCAACTCAGTCACTCGGTGCAATTCAGGGAAAATTACAAAAGATAAGTCTAACGGTCTGAAGACAAGCAAACAATTTCTTCTCTCTGCAGTGTGCATTTGGCTATGAACATGGGGGAGGAAAGAATTCTTTGAAAAATACTGTATTACTTTCCTTTTACTTGTGAGGACTAATTGTTCAAATGGCACAGGTTTTTTTAAAAACATCTCTCTGGAGAGTTGATGGCACTGCGTATCTTGCTGTTGTCAAATCAAGTTGACCAGTCAGGTCAAAGTTGCAGTCACTTTTCAACATAATCCTACCTTGGAATTATGATAAGATGATTTAACTACCGAAAGCGATGACACAACATGTAAAGTGTAAATCATCAATCAAGAGCTGTTGTGACATCATTAACAGAAATTAAAATTCTCCCCGGCAACTTCCACCGGAACATGTTACACATTAAATTGGTTGCTGATGTGATACTGCACTTACAGAATCAGCTAAACCTCTATGTTACATTTTTACATTTATTTTGTACCACTCGGAAGTTTTTTACTTTTAATTTCAGTGCTAGATCTAGTCAGCAGAATGCCTGACATTTCAGTTCTGTCACCGACTTAGTCAGCAGAATGCCTGACATTTCAGTTCTGTCACCGACTTAGTCAGCAGAATGCCTGACATTTCAGTTCTGTCACCGACTTAGTCAACAGAATGCCTGACATTTCAGTTCAGTCACTGACTTAGTCAACAGAATGCCTGACATTTCAGTTCTGTCACCGACTTAGTCAACAGAATGCCTGACATTTCAGTTCTGTCACTGACTTAGTCAACAGAATGCCTGACAAATACTTTCTGTCGCTGACCTAGTCAGCAGAAAGACTGAATTTAAGACTCTTTGCATCAACTAAAATATACCAGTGAAAGAATTGTGGCTCATGTGTTTGATCTAGTCCTGTTACTTTTGACAACTTGGTGGAAATTTGATTCCAAAAAACTTTGTATATCATGATAGCACTCTCACTTGCCATACTGTTTGTTGAAGCTGTAATAATACTTTTAAAATGTGAAGTGAACAAAAAGAAATACTACGAAACACTAAATCATGTTATTGATTTTGTGTGTGATAGTTTAGCTCACTAACAATCCATATGCACAGTCATCATATGCTTAACTATTCTTTTCACATGATCCACAGCTTCAATTTCTTTTGTCTACACCATGTTTTTTGTACTCATCAAAAGCCTTTGAGCCTAAGAGTGAAGATCACTAATCAAATTAGACAAAACTTGGGGTTTTTTTAAAACTTTTATAAAATCGTTTCCCCCGCCACCAAACAACATCATCTGTTTACAAAATTCAAATATATCCTATTACTGTGACCATATATCCTATTACTGTGACCATAAACTGTATTTTTTATTGTCATTTCTATCTAGTGGTAAATGTATTTAATTAACAGATATTTTTACTAATGGTATGCAAGGTAGTGGAGAAAACTTTGAAACATTTTATAGACTTGATAATTCAGCTACTGTGGTTAGCATAAACCTGTCTCATTACACTTTTGTATCCAACTGTGATTGATGTATCATTTGTTCGGTTTCTTACAACAAATTTACTACAATTTTTTAAGTAGCGAGGAGAATTTACAACAAAGATGCTAAACAAATATAATTCATTATCAGACAGAATTTAACTATGTTGCTCTAAATGAATGGCTATTTTCATTCAGCAGCTGGATTGAACTTGCAAAATAAATGGAATACATTAGACATTCTTAACATTATTAATATGAGCAGTTTGTTTGGGATTGTATACCCAATAAACTAGATCATATATTTTATATTAATTATATCCAGCGTAGCTGTGGTTACCAAATAAACACAACTATGAAACTATACAACTTTGGATTTTCTGGGACTGTTTGGAAAATTTCATTGTTAAACTTGTCTCATTATATTTATACGTTGTGATTTTGCTTTGTCTTTTCTCCTTTTGCTGTTTTCAATGATATCAAATTATCTTTTGACTAAACTATTTCAAAGTTTCTTGTTATAATGTTTGAAGCAGTTGTTAAGAAAGCTGCCACATACAATTATTTTGTACTTTGCCAAGACTTTAAGTTGATTTTTTTCTTAAATCTCCCGATTGGATTACCCCAGTTATTTTGCTTTTCTATATTTTATACTCAAACTTGCACAAATCACAAGGTGAAGTGAGATGGGAGGACAGGTGAGGTGGGAGGACTGGTGAGGTGGGAGGACAGGTGACATAGGAGGCATGGTGAGATGGGAGGACAGGTGAGGTGGGAGGACTGGTGAGGTGGGAGGACAGGTGAGATGGGAGGACAGGTGAGATGGGAGAACTGAATTAACAGTATTATTATAATATTGTATGTCACTATGTGTAAACTGACTCTATAGCAAGTGTTTGTAGACCCGGTCCTGAGTCTTTTTGTCAACTTTATATAAGAAATCATTTCCTTTGAGCTATTGAGTGTGAGTTTACATACCAGCTGCATTTGTTGTCAGAAGTTTTTTTACAATTTTATGTTGTGAACTGAAAGCATCAGTCGGCCAGGCTCAGTCATTGCAATAATAACATTACATTGATTTCATTCAGCACATATTACATAATTCCACAATCTGCCAGTTTTTGTTTTACCACCAAACAGTTTTTACATATTTTGTTTGCAGCTCAGTTTTTTTGTCACATTCAATCACATCAGTTGCAATATTATTTGGAGGTCTAGACTAGCATATTTGTATTGTTCACAGTCCATGAAATTTGCGTTGCTCTGCTCATGCTATGTCCTATGGAGTTTCAGGATAATTGAAACACACCAGCAGGGGGCAGGTAGATTTATAGCATCATTAACAGTAATGTCACAGGGGTGTTGAGATAAATGATACATCTGGGTGATGGTATACAAGTTATAAACGGGGGAAAGTTATATTTTTTATTTCAGTAAAGCAAATGGTTGTTGTAAATATGACTGTCTTGAAAAGAAAAAGCTAATACTGAAATTATTTGTACATAACATTTTTTAAAGAAACCCCAATTCCAGAGATGTTAAAATATTTAAACCCAGCTTTCATAATAAACTGACATTTTCATTCCATTTGCTTCTCTGTGGTGTGTTTGCCGCAGGTTGGCTTAGTGTTATCTCTACATTTGTTTCAATGAAGGTTTCAGTGAATTGTGTTTTTTTTAGATCTAGAAAGAATCTGTCTAGATTGTATTATGTATCTGTTCTTCCTCTCTTACTTGATGAGAATGGCAAGGAATGCACTTCCACAACATTGTTTTGTTCTATATCAGCCTTTCCCAAATACAGGGTCAGGACCTGTTACCAGCTCATGAATGGAAATATACTAGATATTGAAAAACTTCTCGAAATCCTTGGAGTTTTTTAGGTATTTTTTCCCTTGAAACTGTTAAATACAGTAAGTTAATTTGATTGTTGATTAACAAGGGGAATAGCTAATTAGCCCCAACAATGGACCTTGATAATTATTTACCAGGTTTCAGTTTAATTCCTTCAAGATATATTGGAAGAGGAAACACATTTTTATTGAAACATATTAAAAAATTATTGGCTTTAAAATCCATAGTTACCTTATGGCCAGAATAAATCAATTAAAATGGTAGAGTGTTATGAGGGCCTAGTATTTGGATTTTTTTTAAAGGCTGAATAAGATTTTTGTCTTTGTTTTAATAAAAGTTTTGGATTTGTTTGACACTGGACCCTGGACTGTGATTCTATAAATAAGCTGTCCACCAGGTTTAATAGCTTGACTAATGAATGTTGTATTAATAGTATGACCTCATTTTATTTCAATTACCTAATATGTACTTGCAGCATTATTTATTCTTATTTATTCACTTAATGCACCTTTGTTAACATACAAACACATTTATACCAGTTTGGGAAGAATTGTTTTATTGGAGGTTGAGTTATTTGTTATGTCAGAAAACTACTAACACTGGTACATTAACAGATATACAATTTGTTTAGAGAGTAAAAGGGTTTTGAAATGTTCTCAATCCCATTTTTAAGTCTAGGAAGATTTATTGATTCATAGTTGTTTTTTTTTAATTATTGTTAACATGGGGGCTTATGAGAATTGAGAACCATTCAGTGTTCACGTGCATGAGTACCATATTGTATGGCTACATACGCTCATGGCTCTACCTTGATTGTTTCAACAGAAAAAAAGATCTCTCACATATCTGGCATACCAGGTATCAAGAAATAATTTTTAGCCATGGACAATTTATGGTTTAGCTCGGAAGAAAAACATTCATGCATGTTGAAACCCCCCAAAAAATTTCAGTTTTCTTGTGATCATTATCTTTATTAAATAAAATACTGTTTTCATCAGCCTCATACCTCAATCACAAAAGCAAGATTAACCCGTTTTAATTTCAATTTTTTTTTTTAAACAAGGATGAACTTTTGTAGACAGTCACCACATCCTTGACTACTTTTATTTATGTAAATAAACATTCTTAAAAGACATAAATAAAACTAAGAAATACATCTTGAGATTTAGATACTTTTAAAACTGCTGACATCCAGCCGGATGCTGTAATCCAGCCGGATGCTGTATTGGTTAAATAAAAAAAATGAATGCGACATTGTCACATCGCTAAGTTAATTTTTTTTTCCAGCACTAATGGTGAATTTATGATGCTGGTGAAAATGCCCCACATCCTTAACTTTGGTTTATGTAAATATAAAATAAGCGCTCTTAAATAAAGACAATAGGGAATACATCTTGAAATGTAGATATCCAAGATTTCTGACATCCAGCTGGATGGTTTATTGGCACAAAAACTCTATTAATTACATCTCTAAATTAATATTTTCAGACACATGCAGGTTTTCAACTATATTTTCTACAAGGTTCTTTATGAGGAAAAAAAGGTTATTTTAACATTGGCATACTTGCTAAATGATTGGACTGCTGTAAAACTAAATGTTTTCAAAATTCATGTTATCTAAATCTTGCTAGGTGTCACTATGTGTATATAGAAGCTTAAGAATCCAAGTTAGTAAAGAGTTAATCATTGATACAGTCCCAACTGATCCAAAGGTGCCAATGTAATTTCTTCCTATCTTTTGTTGTTAAAATCTTTGTTAATGCAATGATACAAAATGTGAACTACTGTTGTAATATAATCAAAAACCGATAGAAATGTTTGTATTAACTTTTCTTTCTTGGGCTATAATAAATCACTGTACATAAATTGCAAAGTATTGGACTCTTTGCTGTTGAGTAGAACGTTCTTGTCTCAAGAAAGAAGGGTGTATTACAAGTCTCATTTAAGTCAGCACACATTCTGTCAATTTTACTCAATTCTATTTTAAACACACTACTAAATATCAGAAAGTGCAATCAGCATTTTTAAGTGGAGTGCATGGCCACCTTATTTAAAACAGGAATAAAGAAAGAAGCTGATCATAAGATGACTCCTGCTATCCAGGCCCGAATTCAATGCAGTTGCAGGCTTAAAGGCATCTGGTCTGCTTTAATTAATATAACAAAAGGTTAACTCGCAATGTACTATTTAGATAGAATTTACCAGAATAACAATCTGTAGCATTACAGTGGTTTTATTATAGATAGTTTAGACAGATCTAAAAGCTTTGACTTTTACCAAATTAATAATCTTTAAAAATGAAACTGTCAGTTAACCATGTATAAAACTATACATGACAAAATATATAGATCTTCTTTTTTTTTAAAGAAATAAAGTTATAAAGGTATTAGGTACCAGTAAAACAAATAAGACTTACAATTGTTTCCATTTCTAAAACAAATGAACTTTAAAGGGGTTTTCAGTGAGAAGGAAAATCTTGTAATTGAAAAAAATATGTCTGAAATTCTTTTTCATTACATTAATTATTTAATACATAATTGTTGAACATGTTAAATGAGATCTGAGAATCTGTTGGTGATAGAAACTCATGAGATAGAAAACTTCACATTTGAAAGGCAAAACAAAACAAATTTGTTGTTACAGCCAGTTGGTCTTCTAAAAATATTAGCATCTTTAATTACATTTATTGTGATTGACATACTGCATTTTTTTTGCACAATCCAAAACTTATATTTTTTTCAAGCATACATTATGATGCCATGAAAATAACTTGACAATATTCAAATGTTGGATGGAGAGGGATATCCAATTCTAAATACTGAAGACGATCTTCCCTTTAACTAATTGTGATGCTGAGAGAGATGCTGAAAGACTCAGCATTTTATAATATATTTTTATTGATTATATATCACAGTTTGCATTTTAAAAATATTTGTTGAGGAGGGAAAAAAAACAACGTTTTGACATACTTAAGTTCTGAGTAAATAGAACTTTCATTTCAGAACTATGTATCAGTCATCAAGAAAATGCCCCAGTTATTTAATTGTTTAATGCTATACAACAATAGTCTCCTTAGATATGCAAGGGACCAGATGAATATCAGAGATTTCTTAGAAACCATGTAATAATAGTATAGGCAAGGCAAACCAACTAAATAATTCATTAATCATCATCAAAATTAATCACTTTTTTTTAAGTAATCACTATTTCTTAAATGACTGGAAGGGTGAAAAATGGTCACAAAAAATATATGGTCATGGCTGACGAGTTAAATAGATCACCCAAACACACTTTACAGCCTTACGATGACTCAGAAATAAATTATTCATTTTAATAAAACTGCCTGCAATTACACATTATTTAAATTTAAGTTGCACCTCAAAATATCATACAAATTTATTTTTTTTAAAAACAAAACTCGGTGCACTGGGTAATAGTTAACAATACATGAAGGTTCAGCGTAAGCTCTTAGTCATAATTATATAGAGTAGGTCATCAGCTGCTTCCCATTTGTTTGTCTAGTTATTTGTATCACTTAATTGTATCTATTCAATGGAGTACGTTCAGAGCTTAGCATTGACAGTCACAGTCTTTGAATGTAGGTTTATGCTGACAGATGGCAGGCGTGGAACATCAATAAATTTGGCTGCAATAAATATTTTAAAAAATTGATTGAATTTGATATAAACAAATCATTTACAAACATAATGATGTAACAAGTCTTAAGATACTAATGTCTTTATCAACTGTTGACTTGTTATAGTTTTGCTTCTCTTTCATGAACATGGATTTACTAGACATGATTTTTTTTTTAAACATATGAAAAAATAGTGACGAAAAACTTTGTAATACTTTATTGAAAAGATTTTGTAACAGATTACATTCCACCTTTCATTTTATCAATACAAGCCTAAAATAATTTTTTTTCCAGAAATTCTATAAAGTGGATCAATAATTTTCAGTCTTTCATCAACATTAAGATCAATTTAAATATTGGATTAATTTACACCAATCTGGCCTTTTGCATATAGACTGCAAAAGTGCAAGTAAAATTTTTTATTAAAGGAAGGTTTAATTAATATAATGGTAATAGAATGTCAGATCTTACCTAGCTGGTCAGTGATGTTGGACAGTTGACGAGTATTTGGATACATGTAGACTGAGCCATCCCTTCGTTCTTTGCTAACCCCACCCATGTGGTATAAAGCATGCAGTCCATTGTTCATCATGTCAAGAGAGAGCACTTCATAGTGTTTGACAACCCCCTCCTGAAGCAAGCGGGCTGTCATCATTTGAGCCTCCTTGACTAATATTTTCTGAGTCTTAGCCAATGGTTTCCCAGCTACACTAGGGTGGTTTGAAAGTAAATACTGACACAGAATCTGTAAACAAAATCAAAACAATTGTTAGTTTGAGGAGAACCGGTGAATTAAATGGTTTTTTATTAACTGAAACTATTAACATAAGTGGTTATGATATAACTCTCACTTTTAAAAATTAATATACAGTTAGAGCCAATTAGTTGCAAAGAGACTGTTATTTTTTTAAACAGAAAAAAAAATTCAGTTTACAATAAATCTCACACATCTCAATTTGATTTTTAACTTGCAGGTATCAAAAAGACTTATAAAATGGCAAGCTAAATATTAAGTATATGTATTATTTTCAATCTCACCCAATAACCCAGTAAAAATGGTTCAAACATTTGACTGTAGAATGTGGTGAGTTTGTTGGTTGACTTTCCAATAACTACTTCATTCTCTTCCAAAACAACACCACTTGTGTGAGTCAGCGTCCGAAGAGAAAGTTCAAAGTCCTCAAAATAAAATGATATTTAAATAAAAATAAAGTGAAGCATGCAAACAAAATATTTTTCCCCTAAATGGAGAAAATGCTATTGCTATATGTAGATTTGCTAACAAGAAATAGTGTTCATATTAAGCCAACAGAATCTATGTTAGCCAAATCTGTTTTAAATAGAATTATAGTAGTTATGTGAAATATGAAATATATTACTTTATAATGAAAGTGTATTTTGCTGAAACTCAAAAATTAATATAGTATATTTATATAATCTTAATTATATTATCATAGTATAATAATAATTATGTATCTCTTTCATAACTGTACATTAGTTAGGGAAATAAAGAAAATCACAAACATCTTTAGTATGTCCAGGAACAAACACAAAGTCTTTACTTAGGAGTTGCTCAAGAAAACTGTACTTGTTATACAAGTCATCTGAAACAGAGGAACACCACTTCATAAGTTATCTATGTGAATCAGGAACACCACTTCATAAGTTTTCTACATGAATGAGGAACACCACTTCACAAGTTTTTTATGTGAATCAGATTTTGTAAGAGAAAATACTTCACACCTGTTTACATTAATTCCCTTTGTTTTATCAATAGTTCCTTTAATAAAATGTGCGGCAGTCAAATACTGTATACGATTCCTTACCCAATGTTAGCTTTTCTTCATTACAAGTGTTGACAGATATTGCTATCATGGCTGGACGTACAAACACATGAAGTATGTGGTTACGGTACAGTGAAAGCATGAGGTGTTGTCCTGCTGTTAGAGATGAAATTGGGTATTCAGTTATATTGAAGGTTGCTAGAAAATTTAGGAATGTATCAAAGTTCACTACAAGTATAGTGAAAGAAATCAATTATTATGTGGTTTTAATGAATGACATTTTGTTATATTTCTTTCCTTGATTTCACATGGATACATATTTAATAAGTTATCAGTGATCCTTGCTCAAAAGACTTGGTGCAGTTAAAAATATATTGAGGATAAAGAAGACTACAATGGCTTAGATTTGAGAACCATGGTTGCCTCTGTTTTACATTACGATACATTTAATAGTGGTAAAAGAAATAATTAAAAAAGATTAATTAAAAACCTGTTATCATTAGGGCATCAGTAGCTTTGGCATGAGCAGGAGGTGCCACTCTAACTAACTCTACGACATCATCTTCTGCTACACGTACTATGTTATGGTGTAGTTTGATGTTTGCCCTCAAAACTGTCTCAGCTGATTCAGAGGCTGAAAGGTGGAAAAAAAATTTGTATTATCTCTGCAGCAAGTTGGTCTAGTGATTTTATAATCAAGTGATCAAACATTTACATTACAAACAGCACTGTTTTGCCCTGATGATGAATATCACTTCACTGCCAGGTTAGTTTGTAAAAACAGTGTTTTAAAACAAATCTATTTAAATTCTTGCTTTAAATTTCAACAATATAGAACTGTAAATTTTAAAAATACCATCATTTTTACCTCTTATTCCATAACAGTTAAAAAGACCATTATTTTACCTTTCATGTTGGTGCTTAAGTATAAATTAATTTTAAAAATCTTTTCAAAAGTATTTATTTTATGTATTTCTCTTTAAATGTCAACAGTCCATTGGTATTTTAAATTGTTGATCATGATCTGAATGGGAAACATAAGTGTAAGGCCAATTTTAAAAGTACATCAGCTAAAGAACTAACCTGGCCAGTCAATGTAAGCACCCATATTAGAAGCCTGTCTTTTAACCCACTCTACTTCCTTTGCCAATTGCCGTAATGAAATTCCACCCTGGGACTGCATTAGAACTGCTGCCATCATAGACCATGGGGAAACTACCATATGTTTCTGATGAGTCAATATCATGTGATGGCCAAGCTTTTTGATGAGATCTTGTTCTTGATTGGTCAAGCTGGCAATGTACCTAAAAGTAAGATTTTAAACAAGTTATATTACAGGTTTGGCATTATAGTATTTCAATAAAAATCAACAAAGAATTTTTTTCTTTTTAAATCTAAATTTTAAACTTCGTTTTTTTTACTTAAATCTGCTAACATCAATAAAAACACATGCTTTGAATTTTCAATAATCAAACAAAAATAAAATTATGTATACATTTTAGTATTAAAAAAAAAGATAAAATTTGCTAAGAAAAAGTCAATTTTGGACTTGAAAAACAAACCTTGGAGCTAAATTATGAAGACTGCGATCTACTAAACCTTCTGAATATTTTCGGATTGAGATGGGTTCCCCAAAATAAATGTGAATATTTCCAAAGTCCTCCTCTAGAATTTTCCTTGCTTTCAGAAGACCCTAAAATATTTTTAGAATGAAAGCTACGTTTTAAGCATCTCTATAAAATACTATATAAGCCAATATCTTACACAAAAATAAACATACAAATGAACAACATTTTAATATTTACATTATATCTAGGCTAGGACATGCATTTTCTTTTTAATGCAGGATGAAGCCCTTAAATTAATAGAAAAATTAAGATTTTGTATTCATTTAAGTCTGTGTCCCAATATATCAGCCTTTGAAACTGGGGATAGGGACAGGTTGACGTTTTGACTCAATGTTATTCAGTTTTTTATTGTTCTTATAACTAAAACAAAAAATTGTACTATTTTTTTTTACATTCTTAGATTGGTTAAATAATTTATGTAATATAATGCAATTCATAAAAGATTTGTTAGATTAATTAATTTATATTGCTCAATGAAATATTAAGTTCATAAATTCTAGCACAAGGTTTTCTTATTTGTATATAATAATTAATTCTGTCCTATCCTGGACTGAAGCCAAATGCTGATGTAAAATGTATTTACTGGATGAACTAGGTTGTTAAAAAAGTTGTACAATCATAGTTGTACAAGAGGTATGACTTACCGATGTAGATTCTTTTGGCTTTGGTACACCAAGAAGTTCATATGCATAGAGGCTTTCTTCTAAAATTCTGTCATAGCTGATACTCACTGGTACCACCATTATATCAGGGATGTGTGACTTGAAGTAAGGTTCTAAAGCTGCCGACAGCATGCCTAAAGATTAGGAATTCAAAAGTTTAAATATTCACCAAGGTTTATATAGTGTAATGACAGATTTGTAAATTGGAAAAAATCAGTTTCCACAAGACTTTACAACCATCTTTAAAGCATTTTCAAAGTCTTCTCATTACATTGTGTAACATCCATGTAAAACTTACCAAATTTTGGAGTATAAGATTTCGAGGTTCTGCTTCTGGTTCCCTCCACATAAAATTCAATTGGAGCATCACCATTACAGATTTGTGTTTGTACATACTCTGTAAACACTGCCCAGTAGAGATGGTCATCGCCAAAGCTCCGACGAATGTAGAAAGCCCCAGAATTTCGGAGCAGCCAACCAACAAACTGCATTCCCAAAAAATCTGACGAAAATAAAAATAAGCCTTTTGTAAAATCACTCCGGCATAAATACTTGTATATAGTCAGTGTTAATTGATCAGACCTGCTAGGCAATAGGAACATTTGTAATCACATCTTGCATATCAGAGACTGTTTAACATTGTAATATTCTCTATTGAAAATCATTCTTTTGTTTCCAACTATCAATTTGCTGTACTAATTATATTTTAACAAAAGGGAACCAAACGTTCAAAAGTTAATAAATTTAAATATATCTAAACAAGATTTTCTATAAGCTCATGTAAATTCAAGCATTTTACAAAATTATGAGGTATGTTCTTACCCATAGCTGCAGCAATGACCGGAAGAGGAAGATCATAATGATAAAATACATAAGACATAAGCAAAAAGTCCATATAGCTTCTATGTGAAGGCATCAAGAGAATTGGATATTCTTTCACCATACCTCGAATCTAAATAATAATTTTGGATAAAAATAATTAAAAACAATAGTTAAATATCAATGTATAATTATAATGTTCATATTACCTGCTTCTATCTAACTGTTTGTTGTTCTTTTTACGGGCATAATGACACTTTGCATTTATGTTACTTTTAGATTAACAAATATTAAAACATGGCTTCTGCACACAATTGACAATGAAGAAAGCCTTCATTCAATATATTTTTCACATGGCTTCTGCACACAAACGACAGTGAAGAAAGTATTCATTCAACTTAATTCTGGCCGTTAGAAGATTATACCCAAAGAGCAATATCAACTAGGTTCATATAACCATTTTTATTTTCATGTATTTTTTATTTTATAGATATTGCTTTACTACAATACCTGGTATATATTATAATAATAATAATAATAAAGTTCATTTAAAAAACACGCTTCATCCCCAAAGGCTCGAAGCGCGGTACAAAGTCAACAAAAAACATATCTATAATTCACCTCATTTAAAACAAACACAACACTACAAAAACTAATTACAAGCATACAATATCAAAGTCCTTCTAGCCATTTCAACCCGGAGCAACACAGAAACACATGGAAAATAAGGTAGACAATCATTCCAGAAGGTATTTGCGAAATAGATGTGTCTTTAGATCTGTTTTAAAGGACTCCAGTGTCTGGTTGTTTCTAAGATCGACAGGAAGGGCGTTCCAAATTGTTGGACCAGCAAATGCGAAAGTGCGCTTTCCGTAAGTCTCAAGGCAAACACGTGGTGTCGAGAGTTTGCCACTATCGGATGAGCGGAGCTCTCTACTGGGTACATAAGGCGTCAGCAGCTCTTTCAGATAGGACGGCGCCAGGTCATGTAAGCAGCGGTAGCACAAAGTTGCGATTTTGTACTCTATGCGAGCACGCACCGGCAGCCAATGCAACTCTCTCAGAAGTGTTTTTGCATGGTCGAATTTGCGTTTGCGGAGAACTATGCGAGCCGCATTATTCTGTGCTATTTGAATTTTATCCAGGAGCGTAGCTGGAAGACCCACCATGAGAGCATTGCAATAGTCCATGCGTGATAGCACAAATGCAGACATCAGCCTCTTTGTTGTATCAATTGTTAGGAAGGGCCTGATTTGACTAATCCTGCGCAGCTCCAGAAAAATCGCCCTGCATAGCATGTTAATATGACTTTCAAAAGTTAGTCTTCTATCTAGGTAGACACCCAGGTACCGCACTGTTTGAGCTAACTCAATACGCACACCTGAGAGAGTAATGGATGTCGTGTTATATGCAGATTTCTGCTTCTGAGCGGTTTTATATGTTGTGGGGAGACATGAGTAGGATCACAATATTAGGGCACTCGAGGTTAGAAGTGCAGATCAGAAATTAGCAATTTTATTATATAAATCAATGCAAGCGCAAAGAGACAGTGTGAGAGGTAAGGGGATGTCTTGTTTATCCTTAGAATATGTATTAAGTGGTCCCTCGTCTATCCAGAGCCCACAGCAATAAGCGAACATCCGCAAAATATCAACCTTATATTTCATTTATTACACACATATATATATATATTTTAGGCTTTATAAACCCTCCACACACTCTTATAAACCCTTTCCCACACTCTTATAAACACTTCCTAAGCTATAAAACACTTTCTACACTCTTAACATCTACATAATTTTAACAACATATAAAATTCTATATAAATCCACCATGCAAAATTAGATATACTCTGTATACAGGGAAACCATCCACCATGCAGTGCATGGCGAGGGACGAATGTATTTAGTCATGAGGTGGGAATATGGGGACATTGGTTCCCTCTTTTGAGTAACATTGCTTGGTTGAAAGTAGGGTCCTATTTCCATCCCATCACAAGTCCTGGCATGCACGTGAGTCAATTAGGCGATCAGGGTACTGTTGTTTTATTACTGCTGAATGTCCATCTTAGCACATTTGAGAAGGTTTAAAGCATAGAGATATGCAAAATAGCAAATGGGTACAGGAGAATTAAAGGGCAACGGTTAACAAGGCGGGGCTTCAAATGTATAGATAGAACCATACAAAGGTACAGCTTTTATGGATATTACAGATCTGAGGTAGTTGATAGGAAGGACAGGCCAGTCTGAGGACATAAGGATATTCTCACTGAGTTAGAGTGAGGGACCAAACAGAGAGCGTCAGAGGCAGATAGAGGAGGCAGAAAGATCAAGATTTAGAGTGAGAGCCTAAATTGGTGTCATAGCTCTGAGAGACCAAGTTGTGAAGTTCATTAGACCAGGGGTCTCCAAACTTTTCAGCCAGAGGGCGGCATTAACTATCAAACAGCAGTTTGGCGTCGACTACACACTCGAGGTCCAAATAAAAAAGAATCAAAACATGGATGTTGTTTTTAATTATTTATTTAATATTATTTTATTCATTTATTTTTTAATAACACATTGATACACTACACATGAACACCTGTTTTAGTGGAAATGGTGAAATTGTTTCCTGGATGCCAAAATAGCAGACATTTCTGGCTTTAAATTTGACGTCCCTAACATCAACAGTGACCTGAGATTATCATCGGACAACTTTGTTCTCAAATTTTTCTTCACATATTTCATTCTTGAAAATGTTTGTTCACACAGGTGTGTTGTTCCAAAGATTGAAACGTACCTTGATGCAAAAGTTTTGACATTAGGAAAGTCTAAATGACACCAAAACCTCTTCATCGCAGCAGTCAACCGCAACTGGAAAACTTTGATCAAAATAATCAAGACTTGATCAAGCAGCAAACCATTTAAAAACTTTGCCACTAGATGGCGTTATATCATCTCATTGACTGTGAACGAAGTAGAAAAACTAAACTGCGAATAAGGTTTTGCAATGCAGTGATCGGCTGGAAAACATAACGCACTACTGCGCGGCTCCATTTTAATTCGGAAAAAACATTAAGTCCACGTAAGCAGCAGCTAATTTTGGCAGAATGCACATAAATTTCCGTAATTTTTTTTCATTAAAAAAAAGGTCTCCGTGGGCAGGATGAGAGGGCCTTTGCGGGTCACATCCAGCCCGCTGGCCGTAGTTAGGAGACCCCTGCAGTAGACTATAACAAAGATGGAGATTTAAACCAGTGTTGTGTTTGTTGCCTCATAAGCAGCTAATTTTCCTCTCAGTCAGGTACACAAACAATCAAAAGCAAGACAGACTTCTGAATTTCTCTACAGTATTTACCTTTTGGATGCCATCTACATTTACGTAAATTCTTTGATAGAGAGCTTTGAATATCTTGATAAGACCAAATGCAAAGCTTCTTACGGCCCCCATCCGCAGGTTATGAGCCATTTCATCTAGGATTGCACACGCTTCAGCAGTAACATCACTTTTGGGCAACTTAGTTTCCATGCATGCCTGTCAAAAAGCATTAACCAAAAATTATGTCAATTTACAATAGACGGAAAAAGATTTTATGAGTTTTAAATTTGAAACATCAGCACTGAACTTCATTCTTGTAATTATCATAATTAAAGACTTTACATTTATTTACTATGTAGGCAATATGGCTTTTTATGGCACCCCCATAGAAATTAATTATAATAAGGGCTCCAAGAGTAAAACGTTTGGAATCACTGCGCTAGTTTATTACTTTTAAAATACCCGGTAATATCCAGTATTTGCTATGTACCAGACATAGTTTGTGAATATAATATAATAATAATATTCTGTACAAAGCTTGTTACAGGGGTAAGAAGGTAAGGTGAAGAGTGAAATGGATCGGGGGGGGGGGGGGGGGGGGGGGGGGGAGGTTTAATGAACTACTGGTCTAGTACAATATAATATTACTGATTTGTGTAATGTTCACCTGTTCAATAGCATACTGAACCCTGTCACTATTGAGGACATGCTCTTTAATTTGAGCTGGGGTTCTTGCTTTATTGAGTTTAAACTTAGGCTCATCACGAGTTTTGAAGCAATAGCGCAGATCACTATTTAATTTCCTCTCCTCCAAGATATCTTCAAACATATCTTTTTGTCTCGAAGATACCAGTTTAGGATCATCTGCAAAAGAATGTAAATATATTTACATTAATACAGAAGTGCCATTAAAACAAAAATTCTGCAAGTCATGGTGTACTACTACTATTTGTACTACTACCTCCAGTCAGGAGGTATGTGCTAATACACTTGCACAAAATCTGGTTATTATTGGAGGATGTAATACTACATTTGAAATCAACGAGAGTCTTTACGCGCAGAAAAATTCACGTCTGACGAGTTTTGCCACAACAATGGGTCTTTGGAGGCATTTGTCACAAGACTATTGAGTGTTTCAAGCTTTGTGTACAAAATAGATCAGCAGCTACACTTATGCCGATTATCACAGCGTACATCCTGCCGGGCACAACAGTCATTTCAGATCAATGGAGAGCATATAATGCTATTGGCACCACTTCGGGATTGACTTATCAAATGGTCAATCATTCAGTTAACTTTGTTGACCCGAACTCGGGTGCCAATACTCAATGCATCGAACGTACAATGAAATCGGCAAAAGAGAGAAACAAGCGCCACGATGGCACACACAGACAGACAAATGCTTGGTTCTTATATGTGTGAGTTCATGTGGCGTCGACGTGTTGAAGCAAATGGTTTGAATGTCTTCAACGCCATTCTAGACTATATTGTTCAATTTTGGCCACCACAGTAGCGGAGAACTTTTAAAGAAGTAAATATGTTTTTATTCAAAATGACATTTGTTTTATTGGAAGTGTAAGTTTTTTAATTGAAATGTGGAATTGAATAATGTATAATAATAATTTTTGCGTTGAATTAAAAGTTTTTATTCAAAAGAACAATTGTTTTATTGGAAGTGTGAATAATAATAATGCTGCGGTACAAATTGAAGTACCCTACCCTATTATTATTATTAGTAGGCCTACAAAGTACAAAGTCGCCTAATTTAAATACTAAAGTAAAGTAGCTATTCTAAGCTATCTAATTCTAACTGAATTGTCTGAATAGTGTGAACTGGTACTAGTTAGTATTACTAGAACTAGTCACTAGTACAAATAGTAGTAGTACACAAGTAAACTTAGTAAACAACAGTATTGTCAGTAGTAGTAGCAGTAGCTAGTACTAGTACTAGTATAAGTAGTAGTGGTAGTACTAGCAGCAGTAGCCGTGCGTAGCTATTATTCAGAAGCTTATACGATTTAAAAATGAAACACAAGTATAACTAATTTTTTTATCGTTACCCTTACTAATCCATGAATTTCGGGACTGTTCTGCCATGACTGATAAATAACCGGCGTAAAAACAAGCTTACTCCCTCTTTTCTACTTTTCTGTTAACTGTTATTTGAAATATAATAAAATAATATTGTTCGGCATCAAGCAACTAGATGCACGACGACAGTGCATGTAAACAGCTTTTTGATTGGCTGGTCAATATCAGACGTCTGAATGGGAAGTAGGACTTCAAGACGAAGTGACGTGATTGATTAAAATGAATGAAATTATCATTTATAAAAAGACCTGAAACCATTTGGTGCGACTAATTAGCTTTGCTTATCATTTAACAACATGATTTATTGAACACAAAGCCCAAGAATTCGCTCGTAAAAAAATGCACACACAGTACAGCATTTGATTTTATGTTACTTAACATTTTATTAATTTTATTTTTTTTAAAGAAAGAAAGAAACTTGAAACGTCAGACCCTCGTCAGAAAAAGAGTAAAGCCCCACTTGCCTACAGATTCTACAATGATGTACCTTGCGCTCGTACACTTCAGGTTCTCAAGTTAGAAAAAAAAATTATCCAAGGTCAAGCATAGTGCACGCCTCGGGCATGGGTGTACGATAGGGTGACCAAACGTCCCGTAAAAACGGGATTGTCCCGTTTTTTCTCGATCGTACCCGGTGTCCCGAAAAAGTCTGTTCGGGACGCCTAAATGTCCCGTTTTTTTAAACCAAACCCACTTTCAAATAACAAAAATTTCATAATGTATCATATATCTTCAAGTAATATTTTGGCCAGCTGTGTAGCCAGTACCAGTAGTGATGTGGGCTCGCGTGATGGCTACACTGTTCCCCCCTCCACCAGTGTCCCTGCCATAGATCTTATATGTAAATGAATAGCGAAAGACATGAGACTTGAAGCAAGGGGGCGGGGGAGGATGTAACGGCGCGCAGAAAACAATTTTGATTCCGCTACCGCTACGTATAATGTGTTGGTCTTATGTGTGATCCCTGCCGGCCTGTTCGTGTCAGATTGACAGGTCTTTGTTTTGGGTGTTGAACTTTATTCTTTAATGTTATATTATCTTCTCATGTAGACAATAATTATGCCCAAACGTCAATGCAAGTTTATGGAGGAGTTTTCCAAAGAGTGGAATTATATTTAAAAAGGGACGCTATGATAGTGAAGCCGAGTGCACAGTTTTCAATAATGATTTTAGTATTGGTATCCCCCCCCCCCCAAAGGCCGTCTTTGAAAGTGCCCCGTTTTTTCAATTTCAGGATT